CCTGAAGAGTTTAGCTCCAACCCCAATTAAACACACCTGAACCAGCTAATCAAGCTCTTAACTAGGCATACTAGAAACTTGAAGGCAGGTGTGTTGAGGCAAGCTGGAGCTAAACTCTGCAGGACACCGGCCCTCCTGAACCAAGTTTGGGCACCCCTGCATTAAATAGATAAAATAACAATAATAATAATAATTTCACAAAATATAAAACACAGTATTCGCCTAAATACTGTGTGTGTATTTTTTTTTTTACTTTCCATTTATCACGAATTTTGAAAAAAAAATAATAATAATAATGGATTCCTCAAAAATAGTAAGCAGCAAAACAGTTTTTGATTTTTGATGATAATAATAATCAGAAATGTTTCTTGAGCTGCAAATCAGCATATTAGAATGATTTCTGAAGGATCGCGTGACACTGAAGACAGGCCTTAAATAGGCCTATATTTTATTCAAATAGAAAACTGTTATTGTTAATTGTAATACTATTTCACAATATTATTTGATCAAATAAATGCAGCCATGGTGATATATAAATATATATTTTTAGATGTAAATACAGTAGATAGATTAGATAATTCGAAAGAATAACACAAATTAACGTTTTATCTAACATAACCACCAAACAATGCACACTTTGAACTTTGCCTGTACAATAAAGCTGCCATACACTCACATGAAATCCCGCCCACGTTATTCCACGCCTGGTTTTCTGGTTGCGCCACACAACACTCTTAGAAGTGCCAGAAACGTGAGTGGTAACAAAACATGTTGGAGGTGGAGCTCAGTCGCCTTAGTCAAAAACATGTACTGGTCATAGAGGTCCACCCACCCACCCACCGGCCCCAACTAATCCGTGGCCCACTTTTCCCAGGATGTCAGTATATCATGGTGTCATCCCGTGGGGCAAGTGTGTTTTGAAAACTGAGACGGGAGCTTTTCCTAGAATTCGCTTTCCTGGAAATCACCACTTTACCTAGAATTCCAGAAGTCATGGCTTTACTATCGTTCCTTTGTGGTTTTATGGGTCATGTGCATCCAGTAGGAAAGTGGTATAAGCAGAGACACATGTAAAATAAGGCCTTTAGGTTCACATTTACAGCTGCCTTTGTGATGTCGGTATTTAGCAGAAGTGATTGTCAGCCTGGGCCTTATGTGTTCCAAATGAAGGGATACATTCAGCAGATCTCTGGGAAAAGGAATTAACCCTTGATCTTCTCATCTGCTAAAACTGATCCTCATAGGACCGGTGTTTTTTATTCTAACTTCACTTTACTGAAGCTACGAACAGTTTCATCCTTTGTGGCTCTAAACTATACTGGAATATTGGATTAATATTTAAGCATAGGCCTGAAAAAGCTAATGGTGTTTGTCGTGACACATTTACATGAAAAACACAACTACAGTCAAGTGAAATCTTCCAATTGTTTATTTCAAGTTAGGTTTACACACAGGTCAAGAACAATCATGATTGGCTTCTTAGAAAATGCATCCATTAATCAATTAATCAGAATGTACAGAAACAAATTCTTTACAAATGAACAGCTGACATAGTGCACAGCAAAGGAAGCCAATAATCACCCAAAGATCTAGATTCATAAAAATAAATAAAACATTTTTTATATACAATACTGCATACTTAAAAATAAAAATGTAATGTATATGCAATAATAAACATATTTACATACATTATTTACAAATTCACATTGAGAATGTAGAACATCACCTTGATTACAACATGTTTGTAATAAAACACGTGTTTGTGATAAAAAAAGAATCATAGAAAAATCACTGGAATCATTGGCTCATATAATGAGGAACTTTAAAAGAGTGAAAGAAAAGTAATCTCAATATCAGTACTACATATGACAAAGCCGCCAGATATCGAGCTGCTGTTGGACAAAGTCTTTTTATCGTGAACTTCCAGTTTCAGAAGTAACATTGACCATTTTGGCACAACAATAAGAACTTGATAACTGCAAATGGTGTAAACAATGGCATAAAGCATCAGAAAAACCAATCTTGCACAGCTCATGACAGTAAATGGCCCATTTTTGCCTAAATTTATATGTACTGCATCTTTAATTAACTTATGAATTAAATTACACAAATGTTTTGGAAAAATAGCATGCAGTGTTTTTTTGATCCCTGCAAAAAAAAAAAAAATCTCCTTAAAAACAGAGTTCATTTTCAACTCTTTAAAATGTACTAATACATACAATATTTACAATAACTTATCATAGATATCTCATGAGAATAAAACCTTGATTTTTGATTTTAAGTGCTATTAAAATATATCTATATTCATAATTTTCGCATAATTTATATAATGTGAAATGCTAAGCAGCCTTGATAGCTGAGGTTGTTGTTGTCTGAGGTTTCTTTGTTTTCTTTTTTTTTTCTTGCGTCTGCCCTAAACTGTCCGCTCTGGATTGTTTTTTGCATCAGATGCCTTGTGTGAAAAGGCAGTTTGTATCTCCACTGTTCCTCAAATGTTGTTTTACTGCAGAACTGACCTCCAAGTAGGAAAGACATCAAATAGGGCTCTTATTTTGAAACATCAGTTTTGGCATGGACTTCAATGTCATCATCATATTTTATCATCAATACTCACAGCCTGTCTCTGTGAAAGCAAAATAGGACCATCATTATTAGACACAGTAATATACCAGACAGTAGTCTAAGTAGGCTTATTAGTAAACCGATAACGTTAACAATGCTTTAGGACATTATAGCTAATACGTCTAACATGAATGTTGTGTTGTGTAGTCAGTATTTATTTTTTATAAAGTATATCGTACCTGCGGGTAACAATAGCCATCAGAACTACCGTTTCTGCATAGATGCACCTGGTCCTCTGTAGTCTTTTGATAAACTGGGTTGTCAAAGTGGATGCTGTTGGTATTTTTCTGATGCCACTTTCTCCAGAACAGCACAGCGCCACCCACAACCAAACACAGGATTGCTTTAAAAAGATGGGACATACAAAAGAGAAGATCTTTAGCTATATCTGTTACATTGCGACTTTAAGTTGTGTGTACCTACATAATGCATTAAAATGCTCCCTTTGTTAGTAACTCACAGGCTTTCAGAACACTACACATTTTTATATTGCTTGTTTAAGCATTTGCATTGAAGCACTCACCAAGAGGAAGCAAAATGTACAAGGCCAACAGTGTGGAAGATGATGATTGAGACACAGCTTTGACATTACTGTAGTGGTCATCTAAAGAGAAATCACAATTACTTGTACAACAGATTTCACAAATTTCAATAAAACTGTAATATGACCTTGAATGGTTCAACGTCTGCCTGGAAATTTTTAGTATGCTTTGTAAAACCTTAAAGGGTTAGTTCACCCAAAATTGAAAATTCTGTCATTAATTACTCACCCTCATGTCGTTCCAAACCCGTAAGACCTTCATTCATCTTCTGAACACAAATTAAGAAATGTATTGATGAAATCCGAGAGCTTTCTCACCTGCATAGACAGCAATGCAACTGACACGTTCAAGACCCAGAAAGGTAGTAAGGACATTGTTGAACCACTGATATCACATGGACTATTTTAACGATGTCCTTACTACCTTTCTAGGTCTTGAACGTGTCAGTTGCGTTGCTGTCTATGCAGGTCAGAAAGCTCTCGGATTTCATAAAAATATCTTAATTTTTGTTCAAAAGATGAACGAAGGCCTTACAGGTTTGGAACGACATGAGGGTGAGTAATTAATGACAGAATGTTTCATTTTTAGGTGAACTAACCCTTTAATTAGCTGGTTCAGGTGAGTTTAATTGGGGTTGGAGCTAAACTCTGCAGGACAGTGGCCCTCCAGGTGCAGGATTGGACACCCCTGCTCTAGCGTCTTGAGATTAGGGTTGGGGCTTGGGTTTGTCTAATTTGCCAAGAAAAGGAGAAGACTGGGACAGATGGTAATGTCTGGGTGGATAAAGCAAGACATACCTGTCTGCGTGGATAAAAGAAGTTTAGTTGTGGTTTGGGATGGCTTGATTGGAGCAGGTTGAGTGGGTCGGTTAGGGATCGCAGGAGAAGGATTTGGTATTGTCTTTGAAGGTACTTTAGGATGACTAGTTGTAACTATTTCGGGCTTGACAGGAGGTTCTGGTGTGACTACAGCTGCTCAAAATAAAAACATAAATGTTAGATGTAGAAATCAGCAGAAATAACATTGTTTATATCCATGTCTTGACAACAAGCACCAAATCTGACTTGCCTTTAACACATTTTCGCATGTCTCCGGCCAACATCATGTTGTCTGGGCAGGCACAAGTGTATTTGGGTGAGAATCTATTGATCTGAGGGGCAGCCAGGCACAAGAATTCACAGCCACCGTTGTTGACCCTGCACCAGTTGATTCCTGGAAAGACATTCAGAATAAGTTCAGAACTACACTGAAGACTATTTCGCATTTTGGATGGAAAATCAATTCACTGAATGGTGACTCGGAAGGTACCGTCAAATATATGGCTATATAATGGCTGACATACCAGTCGGTTGCTTGAGGTTGTGGTACAAGACAATGTCCTCTGGGGACGAGAGGTGTTCGGCCACTTTCGTGATGTCTCTTCCAGTCACACGATTTGCACTTAGAATTGCGTTATTGCTCACATCTGTCCAAAACACTTTCTCCTAAAAATGACGATGGAGAATTCCATTGAGTGAGCATTCAGGTAACCTCTGAAACAAGGTCTTCCAACAACAAGTTTGAAAGGAGCATGAAAGTGTTACCTCAAAAACAGTGAGACCCAGAGGGTGGGCAAGTTTGCCCTGGTCAATGATCAGAGTACGCCGACCATCTCCCTGCACGCTGATGCTGGAGAGAGTGTGTAGTTTGGAGTCGACCCAGTACAGACGCTGGTTCAAAAGGTCTATGCATGGAACAAGACAAGAAAATGGGTCAGACCAAAGTTACACTTTGTGGACAGTTATGTAAGTGGACATGTTCATACCAAGGGTTATTCCATTGGGCCAGACAATGTTATCTGTAACTAGGGCATAGCGGTCCCCTCCATTAAGACCACCTCTCTCGATCTTAGCTGGTGTGCCCCAATCAGTCCAGAACATGAAGCTACAACATATCAGAGAAGATTTAACATAGTAAACCACTTGCCCACGTAGTTTGTCCCTACATTTGAGAGTTTCTGGGACTTGACATACTTCTTAAAAGGGTCGACCACAATAGCACGCGGCTTGGCCAGGTTTTCTTTGAAGAGAGTCTTGCGTCTGCTTCCGTCCTCTGTTGCCACAGAGATGGCACCTTTAATGCTGTCTGTCCAGTAGATGTTCCCGTGGATCCAGTCGACAGCGATACCTTCAGGTGCATCTAAGTCACTGCCAATTACAACACTGTGTTGGGAGGAGTTATCTGCTGTATCCATTGGTGCTCTGGGAAAGAAAGACAAAATATGACATCAGGCAGCTCAGTTGGGTAAGAAGCAATTGAGACTCAAGATTCACCACGAGTCCAAAGATTTACCTGTATATCTTTTTGAGGGATAAATCCGACCAGTAGATCTCCCTGGAAGCAATATTCATATCCAGTGCCACAACGTTCTTCAGGCGGGGAATAACACGTATATACTCGCTGCGATCCAGAGTCATCTTCCTGACCTCATGGCGATTGGTGAAAAATAGGTAGGCGATGGTTCCTACAGAACCATGTTTGTGAGTATGAGTCTATCAGTATGCAAGTATGGGAATTGGGAAAT